GTAAATCAGTCTCAAAACAAGATCAAAACAACTTTTTGGCTGGATATAAGATTTTAAAACTTGGTTAGGTGGACATTTTTTGCAGTGTTTTTTAAGGGAAGACAACATATTGTACATATTTTTATGCTGTGAGGGAAACTGGAGTATGCAGAGAAAACCACACAAGCACGAGAACATGCAAACTCCGCACAGAAAGACCCCAGGTACAAACCAGGTATTTGAACCCAGGACCTTCTTGCTGTGAGGCATCGGTGCTAACCACTGAGCCGTCATGTTGCGCAATATACCCAGTCCATAAATTTGGTAGTCTCTGGTAATTATTAGGAGCATGAACTAGTTTTACATAATTTACTCAGTTTCTGAATTTTGGGTACTCTCTATTACAGCAGTAAAATACCACAATCAACAAGATAACTCAAAGTATTGAAAAATAAGGGGTTTTTGGTCTTACCCATTGTTTATGCTCAGGTGAGTCTCCTACACCTGCGCTCACTGAGAAATCGGATGTTTCTTATGTGTCTGGGGCTTACATAGATCTCTTCTCAGTTTTGAATCAGGAGAAAGCTCTTTCTCTTCTACCTCATCAGCTCTATGACCACACCAGTGACCTCTTAACCATAGCCATCCAGCTGACTCTGTAACCTGTCAAGGTCCAAGAAGGTGACCATGAGACAATATATCACAGATTCCCTCGCTGCAGGTATTATTTGGCCATCTGCCTCGCATGTGGGAGATTTGTTGAGAGAAAATGCAAAATGCGTCATCACTGTATAGATTACAGAGGATTAAACCAGATCACTATTAAGAACAAGCACCCTCTGTAATTCATTGACTTTATGTTTGAACTGTACTCAGTAAAAATCTTCTCCAAGTTGGACCTCAGAAATGATTGTCACTTATTTCAGATCAGAGACACGGAGGAATGGGAGATGGCTTTATAACACCAGTGGGGTATGTTGAATACTTAGCAATGCCAATCAGACTCCGTCTTCTAGGCTGTAGTTAACAGTATCTTAAGATACTTTCTTAACTTTTTTTATGTTCTTCTACTTAGATGACATCCATTTTCTCTCAGGATCCTAAATAACTTCAACAACATGTAAGACAAGTCCTCCAGGGACTCATAGGGAACCAATCATTTCTCAAGGTTGAAAAATGGGAGCTCCAGTTTCCTTTCTGGGGTACATCTTGGAGAATGGACAGGTAAAGACAGTTTAACGAGGGCACCAACTTCTAATGATGATTCATTCAAAATCACAGCCAGACAACTTTTTTCATTAACCTATTTCACTTCCATTCACCGACCGTTTTTCTGGTCTCCTGCAGCCAATGAAGTATTCCAAAAACTAAAGGAACTGTTTACCACCAAATCTGAAATAACTGACCCTAACCCTCAGAAACGTTCATCCTAAAAGAGGATGCCTCAGACTCAGGAGTAGGTGCCATTCTCTCTACACAGATGGTAAGTTTGGGGTTTAAGCTGCAGTATGAGTTTTATTTATGAAAGAAAAAGCAAAACAAAACACTGAAATACAGAACTATTTCAATAGAAGGGTTTTGGAAACACCTCTGTAAGCTTGGTCTCCTTATTACCAGCAGACACACCTGGTCCAAGACCCATCAAGCTGGCAGCCTGGAGGCTTTATTGATAGTGATATAAAAATGCTCACAATATTTCAGCATGTCTCATAACAATGGCTTGTTCCTGTTATTTTTTATGGTAACTTGTTTCTTCAAAGTTATTTAATGGCGGCAACATAAAGGTTACAGCTGTGAGAAGCTTTCAGACTAAGACCATCTAATTTAATCAACTTTTCTAATCCTGAGTGTGTGTGGCTGGGAGGAAACTGAGCAGAACAGCTGATCTGATGTGACTGAAGTACATAAACAAATCATCTGCTGTATAGGCTGATTAAAACAAGACTTTCTGCTTCATTCATAGGGTTTCTCAGTGCTGTATGTATTTTCACCAAATCTTATCATGAAAAAGTCACGTCAGATTGCTCTCACATTCTCTGTTTTCTCCACAGACCATCCACGTGGCCATCGTATGTGCAGGTTACAATGCCAGCCGAGACGTAGTGACGCTGGTCAAATCCGTCCTCTTTCACAGGTACCAACATATGTTTACACTTCGTTAGTTCTCTGATCATTAATCATTTATGTAAAACGTTTTGAACTCACACACTGAGCCCATCTTTCCTTTTCTACCTGGACAGGACAGCAGAAACATACACAAAGTTACATCCTGTTCTAATGCTGACACTTGTAGAGTTTATTGCTCAGTAAATGGGGTGTTAGCTGATAGATACCTGGCAGGTCTCAAAATAGGACTGTTGTCTCACAGTGGGATCATCTGACTCTATGACAAGTCAGAGTGTTGGACATTTGTCTCATGGGGGGAACCAACTATCTGTCAGAAAGGTCAGAGTGTTGGACATTTGTCTCATGGGGGAAACCAACTATCTGTCGGAAAGGTCAGAGTGTTGGACATTTGTCTCATGGTGAGACCATCTGAGTCAATGGTAAATATGGTATTTATAATATTCAATGTATTACATTAGAAATCAAGGGTTTTTTAAGGAAGCGTACCATACTTTATGTTCAAAATGTTGGACATTTGTCTCATGGTGGGACCATCTGACTCTATGAAAGGCCAGAATGTTGTACATTTGTCTCATGGTGTGACCATCTGACTCTATAAAAGGTCAGAATGTTGGACATTTGTCTCATGGTGGGACCATCTGGCTCTATGAAAGGCCAGAATGTTGTACATTTGTCTCATGGTGGGACCATCTGATTCTATAAAAAGTCAGAATGTTGGACATTTGTTTCATGGTGCGATCATCTGACTCTGTGAAAGGTCAGTGTTGGACATTTGTTTCATGGTGGGACCATCTGACTATGAAAGGTCAGAATGCTGGACATTTGTCTCATGGTGGGACCATCTGACTATGAAAGGTCAGAATGCTGGACATTTGTCTCATGGTGGGACCATCTGACTCTATGAAAGGTCAGTGTGTTGGACATTTGTCTCATGATGGAACCATCTGGCTATAATGAAAGGTCAGAGTGTTGGACATTTGTCTCATGGTGGGACCATCTGACTCCGTGAAATGTCAGAATGTTGGACATTTGTCTCATGGTGGGACCATCTGACTCCGTGAAAGGTCAGTGTGTTGGACATTTGTCTCATGGTCATTAGAGATAAATGATGACATCACAGATCTTTAGACACAGTCTGACCCTGCAGCTCTTAAGTTTTTCACACGCTCCCCTCAGAGACTTGTCTACTAGTATCTCTTGATCTGTAGTAGTGTACTGCATATTATAAAATTCCTTCTGAAAATAATCTTTTTCACATCTATGCTGCTTCTTTGAGTGTGGTTCTGCTCTGTCATAGAATGTTTCGCAGTGGCATGCTGTTTAGGGAACTCTATAAATCAGATAGCTGCTGTGAGTTTATTTCTTGCTGCAGTGATGGAAAGCCCTGCAGTGTGACATTCACAGAGTAACTGATGCCGTCCCACCTGAGGGACGGTCTCTTTCAGCTGGACCCGCGTCCACAGTTTGGCCTCTCATCGCTCTAATCTGTCCAACAACAGCTGCTGCGTTTGCTCCTGCTGGGATCATCACTCCTCTGTTCTAAACCCTGAAACAGATTCCTGACAGGAGGTCTTAAAAATGACTCCTGTTGTCATTATAGTGCCGACAGAAAGTCTCTCTTTAAGAGGGAGGAGATTTTGATGAGGATGGGAACATAAAAATAGTTCACTTCACATCTTTATACTGCACACAGGTAGGAGGGAAGGTGGGAGTTTAGCAGCAAAGCTGGTGCAATCACAAAGCATTGAAGGATGAAGCAAACAAGCTGCTCCAGTGGAAATCAGGTGTTACTAAGTTTATATGTCAAAGAAAACAGTCCAAGCTCTGATTGGCTGAAAGCATTCAGTTAGTTAAATGTATCCCCGATTAGTTGTAACATTAGACTTTATATGATAAACATATACTTTAACTGTAAAATAAAGACTGTAAAAATACTATAGGCTGTTTAGTTTTTATCATTTTTAAACTAAAAGTTTAAAATATATTACACGGACGGGGCCATTTTATTTACACGCAAAGCATTCTGGGTAAATGATGATGTCAACTATGGCAACTGGCATTGGTGCGAGGCTGCTAGCGAGCCGTACCTGAAGGTTAAGCTTGGACAATATCTGATGATCGACTCTTTTAAATGAAACCAGAGAGCGTTGACAGAGAGGAGAAGGTAGAAATGACTCAGCCTGGAACTGAAAATATGGATGGAGGACAACAGAGCTGCTTCACGGAAGAAGAACCTCAGCTTTGCCTGTTAGCTTCAGCATTAGCCCAGACACTATCACCATATACGTATATGTATTAGCTCAGCGCTACACATTCTCCTCTCGTCACTGAGGTCCTCCATCCACATGACAGAGAGGGGAACAGAAAAATGACTCAGCCTGTAACTGAAAATATGGATGGAGGACCTGAGTTTAGCTTATTTGTCGCGCTAACGCCAAGCTAATATATAAGGCAATATTGCGTCTGCACTAGCACAAAGGCTAACAGGCTAAGCTGAGGTTCTTCTTCCATGAAGCAGCTCTGTTGTCCTCCATCCATATTTTCAGTTCCAGRCTGAGTCATTTCTACCTTCTCCTCTCTGTCAACGCTCTCTGGTTTCATTTAAAAGAGTCGATCATCAGATATTGTCCAAGATTAACCTTCAGGGTGGATATAGCTCGCTAGCAGCCTCGCAYCGAKGACCTATCCACGTCATCATTTACCCAGAATGCTTTGYGTGTAAATAAAATGGCTCCGTCTATGTTAAAATATATTTTGAAAAATGTACAAAACTAAGCAGCCTACAGTATTTTTACCATCTTTATTTTACAGTTAAAATAAATGTTTATCAAATAAAGTCTAACGTTATAACTAATCAGGGATCTCTTTAAAGTGAACCACTCATCGTCCAATCAGTAAACAGGAGACGGCAGCTGTTGAAGGTAGAACATGGTCATGCTTGGGTTTAAATAGTGAAATATATTAAGTATACTGTGTTGGTATTAGTTAAAGGTACAGACGGGCATTTTGAAATAGGGTTAATTTCTTATCAAATCATTTTTTTATGCTGCTCTTTCGAATGATTGGACAAGCAGCATGGATTCTATGGAGATTCAGTGTTAATGTTGCGACAGAAAAAGACGTTCCTACAGTGAATTTTTGACGCATCAGACTTGAGGAAATACAGGAAAGTTCAGATGAAATGTTTGATGGAGGGTCGAAGTCTTCAACGGGCTTAGAAAGTGAGCGGGAAAAGGTTGATGTTTTTATCTGTGTTTTATTGATTATCTTTAATATCTAAGTATGCTTGTTTCTGTGTCCTTATGTGGACCAAAGACATGTCCTAAATGGTGGAACTCTGTTTTTGGCAAGGGTGGGCAATCCTTGTGCTCGAGGGCTGCAGCCCTGCATGTTCTCCTTGTTTCTCTGCTCCAACACACCTGATTTGAGTAATTGGTTGATTATCAGGCTTCTGCAGAACTTGGAAAATGAAATGAAGGGAAGTAAAACTGTCCTAATTAAGATAGCTATACAAACTTGTGTCTTAGAGTATTTTTATCACTCGAGCCACCGCTTGGGTATCATTTAAAGAAACTCAGTGGTGTTTAAAATTTGTGTAAGTAGTAATATTATCACTGTATGTGTGACTGACTGCAGTAGATCGCTGTATGAGGTGAGCATGGATGAGAAGGGATGCACAAAATATCGGCATTAACATCAGCATCGGCTGATGTTGGACATTTTTTTAAATATCGTATCGGTCCGATAAGTAAAACTGGGCTGATATTAACGTCCGATATTGATTTCCCACTTTTTAGCTTTGTGTTTCTGTTTTGTGAGGGGAGATGGTTGAGTGGTCTCTGTTTGATCATGATAGTGATAGTGACTACACACACAGAATTAACTGAAGTAGAGCCACGTCATCGATTGGTTTTTTTTACGGTATCAAAAAAGACAAAGTGTGTTTGTGTGTGTATATGTATATAAATAATTTGTGTGTTTTTGTGATATTGGTAAATATCGGTTACCGGCCATAACGGCAATTTTAATATCAGATATTGATTGGCTGAAATTTTCATATTGGTTCATCCAGTGGTGGGCACCAGTCCGCTAAAGCGCAAATCCGCTAATTGCGGACATTTTATTTAATTTGCGCTTTAGCTGTCTTACTAATTTTTTTAATTCATAAGCGGATTTGCGCTTTCTAAAATTAAAATGCAGTACTGCTAATAACTAATTATCTACCAGTCATCATTATCTTGAACAGTAGAAGGTATGGCTGTCAATGAATCACAACACATGATCTGTCCAACAGCACCCCTCCCAGATAAACACACTTATTGACAAGGTATACGTCCTTGCTGACTGTTGCTATCAGTCAGGGTTCTCATTTTCCCACAATGCTTTGTGTCTGCTTACGTAGCAAGAAGGCAGTGTTTAGAACTCCCTGTCCCAGCTAAAACAGTTAACGTTTGTAATCCATACTAAAATTTTGTATGTTGATTTATTTTACTTTACAATCGGAGCTCCTTTTTTTAAAAAAAAGTTTAAACGCTGGAGCTCAATACTTGACGTAATTGGTTGAAGCAATGGGGTTAGAGACGCAGAAATGATTTACAGATGTTAAGATAGATGAGGACAGACATCTAGTGGTCAACTGGAGCAACTACATGGAAAACTTTAAAATCCAAGCTCTTATTTTGAAGGGAAGATAGTTTCCTGTACTCCGTGCTTTCGTTCCCGTCACAAATCAAATCCGTCATGCACCCAGAATGCATCTCTTCAGTTTTCCAATAAACAGTTTTAAAATTACTTTATTGATACTTCTTTAATAAAAAAAAATCTACAACAAACAAAAGAAAAAAGACAAAGAAGTAGCCGAACTAGCAATCCTCAACAACTTTTTAATTTTTACACAGGAGCTAAAGTTCTGTTTTAGGAAATCCCATCCCCAGCAATCGGCGGTTGTAATATTAAGCTGTAAAAGAGTTCATACACCGCTAGTTGGCAGTGTTGTGCATATATTGTACATGAATTATTGCCAGCTAGTAAGTGTCAAATTGGACTTGCGCTTTAAAATTTGCTTCCACTAGTTTTTCTATGGCATAAGCCCTTTTGAGGTTGCGGACCTAAATATTTACATAAGCGCTTTAGAAATTGTGAAGCTAATTTTTGGATTAGTGCTGCCCACCACTGGGTACATCCCTAGCTATGAGTATAGCTAATAGCAGGCTACAATAAAGACAATAAGGTTTACTGTTCCTCTTTATTACAAAGTGCAGGGATAGGAATAGCAATCCAGGAATCCAGCTGATAGCTAGCGTCTTAGCTTGGGAAAAGTGACAAAAAAACGATTTTGATGTGGGAAGGATGGTTGTATCCTTAGTTTAAAATTTAGTAAAAAGTCTGAATACTTCTGGCAACATTTTGTTTTGTATTATTTGTGATAAACTTAACAGTATTTAATCAGTGTTTGTCATTATGGGATGCTGAATGTAGATTAATGAGACAAGCTGAGCTGAGATGATTGCAACATCAAGCTTGAACATAACCTGAACAAAATGAAGGGATCTGAATACTTCCTGCAGTTTTCAGTCAGATCTCATGGTCCTCCAGAGGAAATAAGTGTTTAGGAGTTAAAGTGGGACCATTACTGCATCAGTCATTGATTCCTGCGCTGATTGATTCTTGTGGAAACAGCTCTAACTCTGCACATCCTGTGAGGAATGCCTCCTGATGGCCCAAAATTGGCTCAAAATTGTAATTACTGTGTTGTCTTTTTCTGAACAGCTAATTACCTTCAATAATCACTCAGTTTGCCTTTAAATGAAACAAATGTTTCAGTCTGCTCGGGGACTTATCGGCAGCCTTTGGTCCTGACGGTTTTGATGAGAGCAAATGAAAGTTTCACACTTACAACATAAAAGATGTGGTGTTATTTCCCTTAGGAGATCTTATCGAATATAAACCTTAGTATTGATCTGCAGGTCGAACTTTTTAATGTCTTCTGTCCATTAAAGGACAGCTGCTGAGTGAATCTGAAGGCAGATTTTAGAGTTTTTGTTTTGTGTGTTTTGCAGACGGAACCCCCTTCATTTTCATTTCATCACCGACTCCATTGCCCAGCAGATCCTGTCCTCCTTGTTCCACACCTGGATGGTCCCTGCTGTCAAAGTCAACTTCTATGACGCCGATGAGCTAAAGGTGAGGAACGCTTCCCATAACTTCCAGCTTTAAACAGTACAGTCTCTGAAAGGAGCCACTGATCCCGCTCTGACTGCTGTGACGTTTCAGTCTGAGGTGTCCTGGATCCCTAATAAACATTACTCTGGGATCTACGGCCTGATGAAACTAGTCCTGACCAAGACGCTGCCCTCGGACCTGCAGAGGGTCATAGTTTTGGACACAGACATCACCTTTGCCACCGACATCGCTGAGCTCTGGGCCGTCTTCCACAAGTTCAAAGGTAAATCGCTTATCTGTTTTTACTTTTTTCTTCTTTGTGTTTTGTAAAGTTAGGACTGATTGTGTCTTTATCCAGCCTCTCAGCACACTTTATTAAAATCACCCCACACCTCAGCAGCTCTGCAGTGCAGAGAGGAAAACTACCTTTGTTCAAACTGCAGCAGAGATCTGCGACTGAGGTGGTTTCTTGCTACAGATCCAGAGTTTAGTCCGATCCAGGTATCCAGGCATGAAAAGGTATTCTATGGGGTGCCGTTTGTAAAGTCACACAGTCAAAAATGACCACCAATAGTTTTGTTTTATTTAACCTTTTATAAGAAAAACAGAACAGATTTATTTTTCAAAGGCAGTTTTTCACCATATGATTCATACATTTATAACTGTCATAGTTCATAAACTAAATATTTAACTTACAAATTAACTATTTAGTTAACAGACTGAATATTTAACTTGTGACTTAAATATTTAGTTTTGAGCTAAATGTTTAGCTTGCAACTTAAATATTTAGCTAGCAAGTTAAATATTTAGCTAGCCACCTAAATATTTAAGTTAAATATTTAGCTAGCTACCTAAATATTTAGGTTGCAACTTAAATATTTAGGTAGCCACCTAAATATTTAAGTTAAATATTTAGCTAGCTACTGTAGTGTCCAAGAGTGGGGGGCCTCTTCCCAGGAATGCACAGATGTGATGTCTCTAGCTTTAGAGCTCGGCACATATGACCATATTAGGAAGAAGAATGCTTAAGGTATACCGTGACAAGATTTATGGTACATCTGTGAAAGCCTATAAAGAGCCTTGTGCGCCCCTGCTCTTGGCCTTCGTCTTCATCTTCTTACTTGGTGAATCATTTGGCAATAGAGGCCACAATTTGGTTTTTGGCTGTTATCTCCTGGACTGCAAAAATAAAGATTCTTGCTGTTCAACCAGCCTGTTTTTCAGAGTCCTCTCTTCATTGAGCAACAGCAGTTCCACTTCAACCAGAAGTCGTGGTTTCTACACCTCACTACCTAATTATTCAGGTTGCAACTTAAATATTTGGCTAGAAACTTAAATATTTAGCTAGCAATTTAAATATTTACGTAGCTAGCTAAATATTTAAGTTAAATATTTAGGTAGCTAGCTAAATATTTAAGTTGCAACCTAAATATTTAGGTAGCTAGCTAAATGTTTGTCTCTTTTCATGCTTAATGTTGAGAGAGTAACACTATTTCAACACTGTGTATGTCCCAGCGTTGGGCAATATTGGCAAAAAAATAATAATCACGATTAATTGGGGTCCCTGGATAACCTTATGTCCTGGTCACATGACCAATTTAGTGGGAAAGATTTGCTCTTCATAAAAATCTGTTCCGATTTGTGTCAAAATTACAGACTTCAGGCTGTACATCAAATTTTAAATTGGTTTAATAGATAAATTACAGAACTTTTTGTTTAATGTTCGTCATATTTGAAGCGGAGAGGAGCACCGAGCGGACTCTGCCTGGTGGCATTAATCGTATTAATTGTTAATTGCCAAAAAATAATCCATTAATTTTTTTGATCGAAGATTAATTGCACGTGATACGATTATGCCCAACCCTAGTATGTCCTGTACATTATGCAGATTTGAAAATAAATGGACTTTAACTACAGTGCAAGTCAGCATATGTTTTCAATTATAAATATTTTTAGTCATTTAAAACAACATTTTGTTTTCATAACTTCATTATTCTGGAGTATGTTTTAGAATGAGTGCTTTTATACAAATGAACAATCCAAATAAATTCTATGGTAGGTTGTAAGAAAATAATAAAAATAAAATAAAAATAGAAAGATTAGTAAGCAGTTAGTTTAGTTAATAAAATGAATAAGTACATTTGCAATGAACTGTTAGTATTTCTTCCCTTTTTTAATGTTAATTAGTTAAATATATGCATTTTACAGATTGAGAGCTTCTTCATTATGAATTGAATAAAGTCCAAGAATAACAAAACACAAACAAAAGTCAGTGTCTAATTCAAAAGTGTAGGATTGGGGAAAGCCTTCACCTCGCCTTCTTTGGCTGCAGGTTTTACACAAAATCATCATGAGACTTCAGAACAAAACCCCAGAAACAAAGACTGGAGGCAGCAGGATTCAAAGTCCTGTCAGCAGATCCCTGAGAGGAGGCTGAAGATTAAGGAGGGAGGGTGAGTCACTTCACAGATTTATGGCTCATGCTGTCCCATAGTGCAGCCTGGCTGGAGGGGCTTTGGATCAATCTTCATTAAGAGTTGGGCCCATTGCTTCTTCTCCTCCACCCATCATGTTTCCTCTTCTGTTTTACTAAAGTCTACAATCTCAGAATGGTTTAAACCAGGGGTTCTTAACCTTTTCGACCTCGGGGCCCAATTTGTTCAACATAAAATGACACGAGGCCCAGTCAGACATTACCATACTTGAAATGATAATTATTCTAAATCTTGGTTTAAAATTATAGTTATTCTAAATCTTGGTTTAATTTATATTGTATTTGCATTATAACGAAATAAAATACACTTACAGTTTAAAAGTAAAACTCCTGTCAGATAATCACAAGACATGCTTATGACAAACATTTTTTATATTGTAACCTGCCCATAACAATTATGTGAACAAATACAACAGTCAGTCAACAGAGCACTCAGGCTTATCAACACAAACATTTTTTTAACATAAACAACAACAAAAAATAGGCAATTCAATAAATAAAATTGTGATCATAAAATAAATACATTCAAAATTATTTTATGTAAATGTTCCAAATAAAAAAAACTGTAAAAATAAATTTGATAAAGTGCAAATAAAAATTTAGCCTTTTTAAACTTTTGCATTGTAGAACCAGAAGCTGCTTTTCATATTAGTGACAAACTTTGGTGTTTTTTGATGAGTTACTTTCATTTTTGCTTCTACTTTTAATTTAAATTTGGTTTCCATTCTCGGCAGGTTTCTAAGGTTCTTCTTCTATGTATTAAAAAAGTTGTTAAACAACTGAGTGGCGCACTACTGCTACTAGTGGTGAGAAAGTGTATTGCAACTTATTCAAAATCAATGCAGTCCAACGACCCTCTGCGGCCCGAAGTTAAAAACTATTGTTCTTTTGAGGCCCTCAAGGTGGTGCTGGTTCAACATGATGATTGTTTTTTTCCAAATGCGACCACACCAACGCCAATCCTAGTTTCTATTTACTTTGGAAGTTGGAATGTGGATCTGGGTTTATTGGGTGTGTGTACTTGTATTTGTTATGTTTTTAAGACTGTTTCTGGTATACACACCTTGTCAAGACTATGTCATTATGGGGACCAAGGACTCGTCCTAATATGGTGAAACTCCATTTTTGGGTTGGGGGTTAGGTTTAGGTTTAAGGTGTGAATTGAAGAGTGTTTAGGTTTAGGGTTAGGTATGCACTGGAAGAGATAATGTAAGGGGTCAGGGTTACAGAAATGACAGGCAAAAAATACAAACTTGTCTGTGATGATCTGTTTGGCTGTCAGCAATATATCTCAAACCACCTGATAGATTTTAATGAAACTGTCAGAGAACACGTTACACTCATTGGGTGAACATATACAATGTATTGCATACAATACAATGGTGCCATTGCATCAATGTTGGCACACTCACCCTTGGTTTTATAATTAACCTGTGTGCTGACCTCATGCAGTGTTGCGGGGTCGTGCATCTCCCATTTTTTGTTACTTGGTGCACGTTGCACTCCATTGCAGTGGTTTGTTTGTTCATCAAGTGTTTACTCTCCTTTGTACATTTCTACAAGATATAAAGTGTACTGCCACGTCCTTTCAGAGAATACAGAATCAACATATGTGCCGAGTATAAACGCCTACACTGCTTGTACAGATTTGCATGCTGTCAGCAGAGCCCTGTCCAAACCTCAGAACTGCAACTATAACCAAGCCTTTACTTGTATAAAACTGTTTAGAACTCAGATTTACAGATGTTAGGTTAAAATTGATGTAGTAATAGCAGACAGTCATCCTTAGTCCATTCTTTGAGCTCCAACACATTTTGCGAACTCTCACAACATCGCATTAGTTTGAGCATAGTTATATTTACAGTTTTTGTCCAAAACAGCTATAACTTGGATTCATCATAAGATGGTCATAAACTAAAACACTGGTAAGAAAGGCAGTAGGTGATATGCAGTCCTACAGGTAACGTTGGTTCTTTGATCTTTTTATACAGAACATAAAGGTGCACAAGATTAGGAAGTACTATTGTGAAATAAGGCAGTAGAAGCTGGTTTCTGTGGGACTTTGGAGAAGAAACCCAGATTCAGTAGTTTTAGCAGATGTTGGGTGGATTTGTCTCCTGATTACAGAGCGTATATGTCCCACGAGCTTCTTGGAAGAAAATCTCCATGCTCTTGGTTTTGTTGACTCAGGATTGTGCTCTCAGTAAATGAAGAGGGATTGATAGTGTCCCAGTTCAAACCATTAACTGTAGCTGTTCAGCCTGCTTTGGGAAGCACTCAAGAGATGTGCTGATCTTTTGTTTCTGTAAGAATTCTTGCGAGTCAGATGTTTTCACTGCAGTCTGAAGCCATCAGTCTGACTTTTCAGCTCAGGTAATAGTTCTACTTTTCAATCTGCAGCTGCTGGCCTCTATCAAACACTTTGTCTGACATCAACACCTCATCCTCAGTTTACCTCATTTATCATAAATCTGTATATGTTTATCACTTTCTGCTGAAGGTGAAAAAGGAACATTGTCTTTGTTTATGCCTCTGTGTTCCTTTTGTTAGTCTGTTCACAGAAATACCTGAGTAACCATTGATCAGATTGTAGTCAAACTTACAAAAAGAAAATATGGGCTGTAAATCTACAACTCAAACATTCGGAGTCAGCTCAACTCATGATGATTGATTTGCTCATTGACATTAGCCAACACAGAAATGGCCATAGCAGTCTTTTTTAACAAACATTGAGCTAAATGTTGTGTGGTATTTACTCAACATATTCTCAGAGAGCTAACAGATCTCTT